CAGCCTATGCCAGGGCTATAGATAATCCCTGGATCCTAAATGCATGAGGGACACAGGCACACCAAAGGGCTCTGCTCCTGTCTGAGCTGCTGTGGTGTGTCATGGGCTGACGCTGAGCAGATGCAGGGTGTGAGACCAGGTGGGATCACAAAGCCTTTTGCTTAAACAGGTATCAGTCAGCTGAGGGCATTGTCTCTTCCCATTAACTCCGTCTCTGGGGAAGGGTTACAGCATTTGGATATCAGACTCACGAGGTTTGGCAGTGTTTGGGTGGAGGGTTTTGGTTTTTTGGCTTTTTGCCCGTTTCTGGATGTCCTGCATATCACTACTGGTAGGAGGGAGCTGCTGCAAACCTCCCTGGCCAGTCATTAGGAGCAGTTAAGAGTGTTTTAAAGCAGGTGTTGAGCACTTCCAAACGCCTGGGGAGGGATTTGGACACTGTGAAAGCAAGGAAACATTGGAAACTCGAGTATTGAGTTTCCCTTTCCAAACAACTGGCTGCAGCATATAGCTGCCTGTCAAAGTTGAAGGCTCCTGCCTGCACAAGTCAGCACGTTTTTACATTCCCAGGGGCAGAGGTAGGGATTGCTCCAAGTGCTTCCTCATTGCTCTCTGCAGGCAGAACGAAGTAATAGACTGTTGTCACGCCAGGGTTTTTTCATTTCTTAGTTTTAAATAGAGGATGAATTCTTTCCCCTGGTTAATTTTCCCATTTCCAGGCCGGGGACTAATTCACATGGATATAACACCCTGCTAGTGATATATAACCACAAAAATATGAGCTCTACTGCCTCTGACCCTCTCCAACTCCCTTTTCAACTTTTTTTTCGATGGAGGTAACAGTACAAACCCCAGAGAAGAAACTTTGAACGCAGATACCTTCCAACAAACTGGGAAAACTCCCAACTTCGTTTGTGTTTCCCACTCTACAGCACGTAGAACAGGCTTGGGTTACACCCAGGAGCTGGCTGGGATGATGCTGGGGGAGAAGGGGTGGGTGAGCATGTCGTGTTGTGTGGTTGGTGGGCAAAGAAAGCCCCAAGAATTTCCCTGAAGTTCAGGTATCAGCCAAACCCGCTCTGCCCCTGCAAGTGCTGGAGTTTTGCTCAGACATAAGCCCTGCAAATGGCCAAAAAGCCCTAAAATGCCCTTGAGGCCTGCAGAGTGACCCCTGATTTTAGTATGGGAATCGAGGTTGAGAGATGCCTGTGGGCTGTTTGTTCTCCATCCTCTCCGACACTTTCAGACCAAACAGAAACCAGAAACATTGTAAAAAACTCTCAAAGGGGTTTTGCAACGTCTCCAAAGACACTTTTCCTCCAGGGCCCTTTCCTGGCAGACATGCAGAGCGGGGCCCAAACCCATGAGAAACAGGATGGTTTGGGTAGGAAGAGCTGAGGTGGGTGGGAAACATCATGCCAGGCTGTTGGGGCCACCCATCCCTGCAGGCATGTGACAGCCTGGGAAGGGAGGAGTGAAACTGGGACCACTAAGTCTCAGAAAACGTTTTCCTCTCAGTGCAATTTGACTTTTTTTTTTTTTTTTTTTTTTTTTTAATGAGACTATCCAAAAAGCTTAAATACACCCTTGAATTCAACACACGAGAATAAAGCTATAATTAAAACACAGTGAGAAGCATAAAAGCAAAAAGGCAGATTTAAGTGTAGCAACGCTGCTGAAGTGTTTCTCCTTCTTCCTTGGAAAATATTGCTGAATTCAACATGTTCCTGTGAAGCATCATCTTCAACAAAACTTTTTTTTTTTCCCCTGAAGCTAGTGGGAAAGAGTTGTGGGAAAAAACCCTCATCCAGTGCTGTATAAACAGCTGTCTCCCTCCTGTGATGGGTCCAGGCTGCCTGGCTGTATCCCATCACTTGATCTTGCTGGTGCCCATCCCCAGCACTCATCATCACTTCAGTCCTGACATAAATAGAGAGGGGGAGGTTGGGACTTGATGATATTTCAGGTCCCTTCCAACCCTCAACGTTCTATAATACTGTGGAAATATGCTGATAAACACTGGTTGTTTCCAGTTGTAAATCCAAGAATCACAGAATATCCTGAGTTGGAAGGGATTCATAAGGATCACTGAGTGCAACTTCGAGCCCTGTGCAGGACAGCTCCAAGATTCACACCATGTACTGGGCTTTTTTTTTTTTGGAATGCTGAGTCTAGGCCCTGGAAGGAGTCCAATCTCATCTTTTTTTTTGCGTGTGTATTAAGACTTCACATGTTTTGACCCCGTGGTGTGCAGGAGAGGAGATGCTCTGCTCTGTGTTAGGGACCCTCCAGCCACACCAGCCCATGTCACTCAGCAATTAACAACAGGCTCCATCAGGGTAACAGGATATTGGACAGACACTGTACGAGCAGGCAGGGGCAATCTGCAGTCCTTGAGGTCTGTGTCTGTGTGCTTTTTGGGATGAGCTAAGCTGTGCCTGCACAGAAGTCCCCAGAGTCAGAGTGCAATGAGGGCTGTTGGGTGGCAGTCACCATCATACCATTAATCAGTGATGGGGGATCCCCTCTGAACCTCCTTCCCCTGAGCTCCTTTGCAGCACTTTTCCATCAAATGTGCAAGACTGAGCAGGAGATGATAAACCTCCAGAACCTCCTGTTGTGTCCCAGGACCCAGCTATGCTCCGTCAACTACCACAAGGTTTCTGTGAGACCTCTTGCCCACCACGAGGTCTCCATCCTGACTCAGTCCCTGGAGTGGCACAGCCTGGACAAACAAATAAGGCGAAAGAAAATACTCTTCATCCATTGCTAACGTGTGCTGGGGCTGCTCCTCCTCCAGCCACAATCTGCTCCCTGTTCCATGGCACGAGACATGTGGGATGGCACGCTGCACCCTGGGCTGGATTTGAGCTGGCAGCCCATCAATTTTTGCATGGCTCTTGCTATCCTGCCCCAGAATGGCAGGGAGGGTGGTGAAAGGTCTAGAAAAGAAGTCTTATGAGGAGCAGCTGAGGGAGCTGGGATTCTTTAGGCTGGAGGAAAAGACGCTCGGGGGAAACTTTCTCATTCTTTAAAACTACCTGAAAAGAGGGTGCAGCCAGGTGGGGTTTGGTCACTTGTCCGAGGTAACAAGTGACAGGATGAGAGGAAATGGCCTTAAGTTGCACTAAGGGAGGTTCAGATTTGATATTAGAAGCTCTTTTTCCATTGCTACAGTGATCAGGCATTGGAATAAGTTGCTCAGTGGGGTGGTCGAGTCACTGTCTCTGGAAGTGTTGGAAGAGATGTCTGGATGGAGCACTAGGGGATGAGGTTTTGGGATGATTATGGTGGTGCTGGGGGAAGGGTTGGAGTCAATGATCTTGAAGGTCTCTTCCAACCTTGATTATTCTGTGATTCAGTGTTTTGCTAAATGAAATGAGAAAGCTGTTGGCAAAGGTGCTGAAAGTGAGACAGATTCCTTCCTGTCTGATAAATTTGAATTCTTTCCTCCTCCTCTTCCATTCTCCCCACCCCAATCTCCCTGCCCTGCAGTTAGTTATCCTGTAACAGGAGTGAGATGGCACGATATCTCTCTCTCCTAGACCACTACATTCTTATGCAGCTGGATATACTGTGGATTTGGTCTGGGGATTTATTTTTTAAAATTTTTTATTTTCCATGGCAGGAGGGTTGGAACCGGATGACCTTTAAGGTCCCTTCCAACCTGAGCCGTTCTGTGATTGTCACCCTTAATTTCCTATTTGTAAGTGAATTTAAGTCATTCCACAAGGGTATATGCACAAATAATTTGGAAAGGGCTAACATGTGGCTGATGGCATCAGGCAATTAGGACCTTGTTTGTAGGCGCAGTGTGAGCCCCTCATGGTGTCCTTTTCCACGTGCCACGTGAAGTTGGAGCTGCTCCCACGATTTTGGCCTTTGCTCACTGTGTACTGTGAGGACCAATGTGAATTTCCCACTGCGCTGCTGGCTCCGAGGGGAATTTTAATGCACATCCAGGGAAGCAATCTACAGGCTCCTGGGCTATTGAAAGCCTGGCAGACTCTCCTGGTGCTCAGAGAGGCACCTTGCTGGCTCCTGTTCTTGGGGTTTATCTGCCTCCCCAGGACAGGAGGAGGGGCTCTGGGGGGTCTAATCAGGACGAAATGGCCGAGTCGGCGCGACTCCATCCCCCAGCCTGGCCGATTAGGACAGGCAGATCTCCTTCAGCTGTAAAATCTGTCACTGAGTGAAGCCAGGGCTCTCCAGGGGCTGCCATCTCCCTCCCTGCAGTGATGGGATCTAGATGTAACACAGCCCCAGCCCCCCCACCATCCCCAGCCCTCTCGTGCAGACCGTGGGCTGCCTTGACAAGCCGGCCAGGTTGCCTTTACCCAGGGGAAAAATTCACATGCATTGTAGGCAGCTTAACAACATGAGACAGATTTTGTTTTCCTCTCTAAGGCAGGCGGGCTCCCTGGGCTGCAGCTGTCTGCTTGAGACACCTATCCCAGTGCCAGCTCCAGGCCTGATCCCATGTCCCTTACCAGTAGCCTGACTGCATCAAGAATACCATTGCCCAAGGAAAGGAGGTGGAAATAAATAGTTCTGCTTTCTGGGTTTTTCTTTTCATAAAGCCTGTAGCATGCCCTGTCTCACTGCAGGGATTACCCAGGGGCTTTGCATCTCTGAGATGGGTCAGCGCTGAATGAGCACACGGATCCCTTGAGCCGTTCTGGGTGAAATACTGCTGGATGGATAAATTTGCATGTGCCTAGGTATAGTCAAGCCTTGCCTGATGCTAAAGGTGAATCCCCAGGGGCAGAAAAACCCAGGATCAGACCAGTACTCTTCTGTGACTCGGTGTCACTTACCAACCTGCAAAAATATATGAACTTATCGTTTGCAGCGTCGGCCCGGGGGCGCGAAGGAAACGAGAGCACTTCTGTTAATGGAAATACATCCGTGCTGCTTCAGATAATGTATGGAAACAATAAACATAACTGTAGAACCGAGGGGGAGGGGGAAAAGAAGGAAACAGCCGTATAAGTGAGAGCATGGCGGTGAGGAGGATGTGTTGGGCTTCCCTGCTGGTTTCCACCGTGTCAGAAGCCTCTGTGAGTGAAGGGTGGGAACGGCAGCGCGGCGGCGAGCAGCAGAACAGGTTCAGCCATCCACGTGCCTGCATCATCTGTTGGCTTTCTAAAAACTAATTTGTACCTCCTCAGTTTGAGGCTGCAGCCTGTGATTGCCAGCTCCCAGCTAAGTGTTTTGGGTGCTTCGTAAATGGTGGTTAAACAACCTTCCCCGCGGGCTCGCAGGAGATTGTCTTCACGGTGCGGGCTGGGGACATGGGTTAATGGTGGGGTTGGCAGTGCTGAGTTAATAGTTGGACTCGAGGATCTTAGAGGGCTTTTCAAACCTAAATGATTCCACTATTCTATACCGTAATTCTAGATGATTCTGTGAGGCCGTGGCATTGCAGAGCTGGAAGATATGGGGAATACAGCAGACCCAGCTCAACGGCAGGTCCTCAGCATCCATCAGTGTCAGAGGTGAATTAGGCCAGCTGGGGCAGCCACTGATGTGCACTCATATTCCAACAGTGGCAGGAATTACCAAAGTTGCCATTCCCCATTCACTGATCCCTGATGCTGACCTTGGCTTTAGGGCGTGATGGGAGAAGCTGTGGAAAGCAGCCTCCACCAAGGCCCTTTGCAGCTAGATGCAAGGATTAGAAGAAGGTAAACTCAAAAATAAATGACTTTGAAATATAATGTTCAGTTTTGCACTGTTACTTTTTTTGCCAGGGCTTTCTGGGGTCCACCAGCACTATGCTTGTTGAGGACTGGTTCTCCGTTGTGCAAGCTGGTTTGGTTATGCCAGCTGTATGATTTGATGGCTGCTAATAAGCATAGAATTGCTGAAGTATTCCCCAAAGTCTTTGCTTTGCTGTCAAAATCCTCATCAGCAATTGGATTAGTTGTAGGGAATGCACAATTACTACACAGGGTATTGTATTATGCTAAGACAAATTGATGGGTTTTATTTAATCATATGGTCCCGGTCACATCTTCATAGTGTTTTTCCTGTGGAGAGGAATGCATCACTGAACCAGTAGGTACAAGCAAAAAAGACTGAAAAATGCTTGATTTAATTAATTAGTGCCTAAAACCGAGGCAAATTAACACTCTGTACAAAAACAAAATGGATCAGGCTTTTGCTCTCAGTCATGTTGGCTGTGCATATCTTCCTACACACATACCAGAGATAAAGTTTGCATGTTCTGGACCTTCGGGAAGCGTACGACTGAGTTCCTCCCAAGGACTGTCTTGGTATGGGAGGAAAAATTCAGGTCAAAAGCATGACCAGATAATCTGCCCACCCTGTGCTCTGTGGGTCACCACGGCTCTGGCATCAAAGATCCTGCAGACCTTTAACTAAATCAGACTAAGGGCTCCCAAGATCCAGTAGAAGGCTGGAAAATCCTTGGCTAAGGTTGCATTAGGCATCAACAGTTTACAGAGTGGCAGAAGACAAGAGACAGGCTTTTTCTGCTTTACTCACAAAATGCTACAAAATGAGTCCCAGGGAATGTGGGGGAGTATCACTAAGCTTCACTGCCTCATGTCACCCTAAGACATTTTTGTCTGAAATACAAGTGAACTGCTGCCTGGTGACACAGGTTGGTGTGTTGGGGTGTGTGGAGGGATTAACAGTTTTACCTGCTCTTGCACCTTGTCTTCAGGCCCTGTGAAGGCCTGGAGGTGTCAAATGGCTCACCTGTGACCTGCTGCAGCAGTTTGCCACTGGGAGGACATGTGGCCATTAGAGGTTGAGCAATTCACCACGAGTTGCTTGGCAAGTACCAAGCAAACAGCAATCAGGAGGCGTCTCCCCATGATTCCCTCTAGCAATTGGCCAGGGCAGCACAGGATCCCCATTCTGTTACTCAGCCTTTACCTGTTTGTGGTGAATTTGGGACATGCCATCAGCAACAAATATAACCTGCAGCAGAATGGAATATACAGACGGCTCTTGGGTCTGGGTTTGCAGCTCCATCATTGAGGAACGGTGGGTCTGATCCCGCCACCTCTGGTTTTAATTAGTAGCGTGGTCAAATCATGCTGTTATCTGACAGCGGGGGAAATATCACCTTAAGAAGTTCCACTGTGGGTGGCACAGGAATTTGTTCCCCGCTGCCTCTCTCAGAGGGGCACTCTGGAGGATTAGTTTGTATTTAAGAGATGCTGTGTGTAATTATGCACAGTTTTGCAAACCATCCGTTTCTGTTAAGTCCTCTCCCGTTGTTTCTCTTGCTGGCATCTGGCTTGCTGTGTGTCTCTCGTGTTTCCATATGGGAGTGAGCAGAAAGCACTCGGGGCTCCCTAGGCTGTTGTGATGGACTGGCCCTGCCTGCCAGGGAGGCGGGAGTAGAAGGGGTCTGGGTGAAGAAGGCATGACGTGCATGCCTGTGTCTTGGGATGACACTCAGTGTCTCTTGGTGCTGTTGTTCCTGGATATTTTGGGCCATTCCTGAAGGTTTAAAAAAGAAGGGGAGTTTTCTAGGAAGATGGGGTGTTCAAAATGCCATGCAAAGGGTAGGAGTCTTATCCTGTGAATGATCCTCAGCAAAAAAGCATTTCTAATAGCCTTACTTGAGCCTCATCCTTCACCTCTGCATTTACTCTTTCCCTAGCTTAAGAGTGAAAAGTTTTGCAGGGTGCCTGTAGATGCTCCAGGAATGTAGGAATTAACATGCTGGATTGGAACAAGGGCTCGTCCAAGCGAGGATCTTGAGCAAGGTGCAAGCCAGTGCCAGATGTTTCACAAAACGCCTCCACTACAGATATCTTTCACACCTCATTTCTTCCTCACTCCCATCAGCTTCATGGCTGGTCTCATAGCTGTCTGTGTTATGTTTCCAGCAGCTGCTCTCTCCCTGCAAGCAGCTCACGAGGACGGGCTATTGAAGGGTCTCAGTAAACAAACATAGCCTTCATCCCCCCCTCTCAGAGGTGGGAGGTGTCTCACTCGTGTCCTGCAGTCAGGGAGAGAGAGCTTCTTGGAGCAGAGATTATTTCCTTGCCTATGAGACACTTTTAGAGAGGCAAAGAAATACCTTGACTTGCATGGAAAGCCTGCAGTTCAGGGAAAGCTTTGAAAATTCCATATTTTAGAAAATGGTTTTTCCCTTTTCTAAAATGATGAGGCTGTGTCACAGAAACGTAGACTGGTTTGGGTGGGAAAGGACCTTTAAAGGTCATCTGATCCAACCCCCCTGCCGTGGGTAGGGACACCTTCCACTAGACCGGGTTGTGTTCTCTTCTCTTCTAGGTGCTCCCTTTCAAAGGTCTCAGCATCCCCATGCTACCTCCTGCCGGCATTTCCACCTGGGTCCCCAGCCTCAGCTCTCCGCCGACTTCACCCTGCCTCACGCAGTGCAGCCCCAGCCGGGGCTGACCCCTCACATGGCCCCTGCACACCAGCACAGTGGCCCCCTGCACCAGCCCCTGGCCCCAGTGCCACCCCTGCCCTTCCAGGACGTCGCTGGACCCTCCTTCCTACCTCAGGCGCTACACCAGCAATACCTCCTCCAGCAGCAGCTCCTCGAGGCACAGCACCGCCGGCTCATGCCCCATCCCAGGTAAGGGGGTCCTGCTCTTCCTGAGGGATGTTGAGGAGCTACATCAACCTCTTTTCACCTGCAGAAGCCCAGCAGTGCTGGTGGCGTTGCGTTTTCTTCATGAGTTCGTCTGTGCACCCTGAAAATTCATCCACCAGAAGGGAGGCTGCAGGGCAAGCTGCACCTGAACGGACACCTTTGCCTCGGGGGCTCTTTAATGTGCTCATCTACTGTGTACCTTTCCCATGGGGATCCATACAGTGCTCATCTAGTGTGTCCCAAGGTCACCTGTTATTGTCACTCTTAGGAGAATCATGATGGCGTTGTGGTGAACCTGTCCTGTGTGGCAGAGAGAGGGACGGACTGTGAGGGTGAGCTACACCCTTGCAGCTGCTGTTTCAAAGCAGCACAAGAGATTGTATCTACCTGTCTCATTTTTACACATGAAGATCTCGCCCTCCTAGGTCTAGGTAGGCTTTCCATCTCTATGAGGGAATGGTGCCACTGACCTGCAGCACATTCTGTCACTGAAAGCATCTTAAATTCAGACTGGGTTGACAAATGCAGAGAGACCTACTGTAACTCAGCAGAGGTGGAAATGGATGCCTGGCCTTGCCTTGATTGTGTTTTTTGAGAGAGTAGTCCTTGTTTTGTAAACATATGGAAGCTATTTGTGGGTTGCATCCATGGATCAAGAATCAGAGGATGAATCCTTGCAATAATGCTTCATTTGGAAAGAATGCTACAGATGAAAACCCTTTCTTTCCATACCCTTTCTGTTTTAAAATTGTGTGTTCTTCTCATCTTTGTTTTGTTTTGCATAAGCTGGATTTTAGGTGGTTTTAATGATTAGATAATAATTGGGTGGTGAGCATGTTCAAGGCTGAGGTACTGACGATACACGTGTTTATCTCTTAGTCATAAGCTGAATTCAAATAAAAGCACAGAACACAATTCCATGCAGATTCTGCTTTGGTAAACGCTGTCAGTTTTATATTTGTAAGTGGGCTGTGAAAAAAGGCAAGAACCTCTTGGCCAGGCTCAGAGCTTGTCTCTGAAAGCACAGCAGCAGGGGAGGAGGGTTTCAGAACCCTTACAGGTGTGGGGCAGGAGGTCCCAATAATGGGAATGTGGGTCATGCCTTTGAAGTGAGGTCTCTGAGCTGTGACAGCATTAAAAATTATTTACCTAGCAGTTCCCTGTTCCATTTGCTCTGGTGTTTTTCTGAAGATTTGCTTTGTGGCTCCTCTGGTAAGTGGGGACTCAGCAGGGAGTGAAGGTGATGAGTCTGTCTGTAATGCAAATCCTGCTTGTGCATACACCTTGTCTATTGCCAAATGTGGACACTGATCAAGCAGCACATCCTCTTTCCCTGAGTGGTTCAACTAGACAATAACCACAAGACTCAAATCCCTAGGAAAACTGTTGTATTTTCTACCACTTTCTTTTCCCTGCCTGCAATGGCAGCAGAGCTGAGGGAGAAGGAGCTGGATCCCAGCCTGGCCTGTCCATCAGCCAGAGGAATGTTGGCAAAGGCCAGCAAGAGTAAATTCTGCTTTCAGTCACTCCTGAGTAATCCAGTTATGAATGAGGTTCCCCAGGAGTTTATGGACTGCATGGGGAGACGAGACAACCTGCAGCTTCTTTATGATGATGGATCACGGCTGAAGCAGGGACACATTTTATCTTGTGTGTTGTTTATGGGGCTGACTGTGGAGAAAAAAAAAATAGTGCAAACAGCACAAAGCTCCTCAGGAAGGTGTTGTTTGATTTCCTCTTTTTCTCTCCTTTTGCCACCAAATAGCATCCCCTGTAAATTGAGCACATGTAGTTGTCAAAGGGCATGAGAGTCAATGTCCGTGGCGACGATGAGGGAATGACGTAGCCCTGGGTTCCTCTTCCCGCCATCCCTGACACCTGCCTGGGCTGTTTTCTCTTGGACACGTATTCACATTGCTGTTTTACCATGGATTATTGACAGGAGGCTGGAGCAGGAGCTGTAGATCCCAGTGCCACCCGTGCCTGACTGTGTCGCTGCTCTCTCTGTTGCAGGCGGGCTCAAGAGCGCATGTCTGTCCAGCCTCACCGCCTACACCCCAGCTTCGACTTCAGCCACCAACTGCAGACTCCACAACCCATGGGGCCCCAGCCCAGGTATTTAGCAGAAGGCACGGACTGGTAAGTGATCCACATTTCACTAGTGCATTGAGTGATGTCTTTAAAAAGTCCCAGGAAGGCTGCAAGGGTTGGGGAGTGCATCAGGGATCAATGCTTTCATGGAAGCCAATGAGGCAGCTCAACAGTTACAGTGTGGGGAATGTGCAGTGGGAGAACTAGCCTCTGAGAGGGCCATAAGTGTGTGTTAAAGCCTCCAGGCATATATATAGAATTATAGAATCATTTGGGATGGAAAAACCCTCTAAGATCATCGAATCCAACAATTCCCCAGCACTGCCAAGCTGAGCAGTAACCCATGTCCCCAAGTGCCACATCTACATGGCTTCTAAATCCCTACAGGGATGGGAACTCCGTCACTACCCTGGGCAGCTTGTGGCAGAACTTGATGGCTCTTTGGGTGAAGGAATTGCTCCTGATATCCAATCCAAACACTACCTGGCACAACTTGAGAACATTTCTTCTTGTTCTGTCCCTTGTTCCCTGGGAGCACAGCCTGACACCCACCTGGCTCCACCCTCCTGTCAGGGAGTTGCAAGAGAGTGAGAAGATCCCCCCAACCCTCCTTTTCTCCAGGCTGAGCCCCCTCAGCTCCCTCAGCTGTTCCTGCTGCTCCAGACCCTTCCCCAGCTCCATTCCCTTCTCTGAACATGCTCCACTGTTATTGCCCATAACTCTTCACCTACAGATGTAGAGTGCAGCCAAGCATTAATCTTCCCCAGTGGCTCTTCCTGCTGCAGGACACAGACAGGATCTTTTTCCTTTAGACCACTGTTTCTGCCTGAACTAGACCTTCTGCTGTCCTTCAGGCACCCAAAAAACAGTGGCCATAACTTCTTCTGTGGTCTCAATTAGTGACCACCATGCTGCTCTGCCATGCAGGGTAGCATGAATCAAGATTTGTTAATCATTCTCCCACTGTAGTGTTTAATACCCTGGAAAAGCTTTGCAGGGAATTGATCACTTCATTTTCAGAGCAGGTTTTGAGCTCTTGAACATTTAATAAGGTATGGTGCCCTACTTGATAGAATAAGGAAATAAAAACATACTTCTGTAAGCTAAGCAAAGTCCATTCTGTGCACTGAATGGAAAAAATAACATGTGAGCTTGTAATTAGAGACAATCGCAAAGTATACCTACAAGGGGACCAAAATAAAATGGGATAGGAAATCTTAATGATGGCATTTCCTAACATTTGAATGCTTCACTCCACAAATGAATAGTCCTACTTTAACACCGGGTGGGGGTTTTTTCCCCTTCAGTGCAATAATAGACAGCCAAAAATATGGCCAAGTCCTTCTGCCATTTTCTTCTTAGGTGTTCCCATTACTGGCATCCCCGTGGGCTGAATGTGGCCAGGATGACATGGTTCTGATCGGTTTGCAAAGCAGCTCATGTACCATCTGGATAGAGACATTCTTTCTGCTTCTATTTCAGCGCAGAGCGTTTAATTATAATAATTAGAAGGATCTGATAAAGCATCACTTTATGTTCCCTCCTCCTCCCTCCTTTTCCCCGCTGTGTTGCTCCATAACCTTATAAAACCTAAGGAGTGGGGACGACAGAAATCATACACTGTGTGTATATGTTTGGGTGACTCATTTTCCCTCTGGGCACACGTACAGTTTTTGCCCAGTTACAGATATATAAAAACTTCCCTCTAGTGTGTTACCCCTGGATGGGCAGCAGCAGCATTTTCTCAGAAGCAGTAGGTGGTGGGCACTGCCACGGGAAGCGGGGATGGAAGGAGGATCTGAAAGGGATCAGTCATCCCAGAGAGCCCAACCTCAATTAAAATCTTCTGGTGAAGAATAAATAAACTCCCATTTGGTTCCATAAATCATCTCCTGCACACGCACATAGTGATGACCATCCAGGCTGTTATCTGGAGCCTTATCTGCCACTTTTGGTTGTTGGCAGCCCATGTACCATAAGCATCACATCTTGAACCTCTCATCTGAGCATCAAGATGCTGTACAGTCATCCCTGTAGCACAGGCTAGGAAGCAATAGTTATTTCTGATTTTCTTCAGCTGGTGCACTCTGCTTAGTCACCCTCAAACCCTGGGAAAACACAGTACCATGCAGTGGTCTGCTTTGGACCCATCTGTAGACCCACACCATCACTTCAGGAACCTCAACATCTGATTTTAAGTCTCTAGGTTCACAAACAGTTCAGCAGTACTATTGTTGCAACTACTTGTACAAGCTAATAATGGCCATTCACCTTTGAGAGATCTCTTCAGTGCTTGATCTCAAAGCACTCCATGGAATACCACATCTCTTCTGCAGACAGGGAATACAGGATGGCAAAGAGGAAGTGGTCAAGGTCATGCATCAGGAAAGTGACAGGGCTGGGAATGGAACCAAAGCCTCCTGATTTCCAGTTGAGCTTTCCATCCACCTGGGAACAGTCTTAAACAATTGGATAAATATCCAAAATTGTGACACGGGAGCTGGAAACTGCCCAGTGCTGTGAATTCTCATCCTGGTTGTGTTCTGCCAGTTGCCTGCTGTGTTTTATCCCCTGCCAGGTTTTGTCTCTCTAGCACAGGGCCAGTAAAGATAGTCCCTCTCCTGGCCTCAAATTAGAATCACAGAACCACAGAATGTTCTGAGCTGGAAGGGACCCACAAGGGCCATCAGTCCAACTTGGTGCAGGGTGCCTTACTAGGGGATTCGAGAGCCCTGGTGCTCCTGCCTGGTGCACAGGCTGTTCTGGATGAAGGATTTCTACATTCACTGTCCCTTCACGTCCTCTGCCTTCTGCTGGGTGGAAGCAGTTTCACAGCTGCTGGAGGACACATCTGGGTTGCTCCTAACAAGCTGTGGTACGCGCTGCCGCCGTCCCTCCACGCAGGGGAGGAGAAGTTCGAGGCTGAGACGGGAAGCCACCCCTGTGCTCTAATTAGCTTTGCTTTGGCAAATGTGAAGACAATGGTTATTAGAGCTCTGGATTTTGTAATTATGATAAAGTGAATGATGTTCAAAGCACTCGTTTGCTGAGAGACTCTTTGGCTGGAGAGAACAGGGATCAGCTAACTGGATTAGAGATGGAGATGCTGCATTAGGTCTCCTCCTATCCCCTCCACACGGTGTGGCAATGGGGCTGCAGTTTATGCCTCTGTGATGGATTGGGCAGAGCTGTGAAGCTGGATGGGATCTTGGTCATGCCGGGTCCGGGGATTGAGCTGGGTTATTCTTCTGGATAAAAGTGTCCAGATTCACCAAGCTGAGTTCCACCTCTGCTCGCCTGGGCCAGGCTGTGTGCGGGCTAGTGGGGCCATCAGGGGTGTCCTACTCCATTGCTGTTGGCCTGCTAGTTGTGTGACACACTTCCCTACAGCAGTCCCATCCAGACATTTCTTAAAACCTTTATGTTTTATGCACAAATTGCAGTTCTGGAGTTCACAGAATTGTAGAATCACAGAATGGTTTAAGTTGGAAGGGACTTCAAAGATCACCTAGTTCCACCCCTAGGTCCTGGGCAGGGATGCCTTTTACTAGACCAGGTTGCTCCAAGCCCTATTTTAACTTTGAACACTTCCAGGGATGGGGCAGCCACAGCTTCTCTGGGCAACCTCTGCCAGGGCCTCACCACCCTCACACCTCACACCTTCACCACCCTGAGTCTGGGTTCAGTTGAGGTGCAAGTCTCTTTTGACTCCCCAAGTCCTACCACAGTCTGGACTGGGAGACTTCCAAGGAGAGCACAGGCACATCAAAAAGCTCCCAGGCAGCACCTAGCTAGCTCCTAACTAGCTTCCTTGACTAATTGCCTATATTCCTGCAAAATATTCAAAGCATATCGTACTAGTGGCAGCACAGACAGGACCTGGTCTGACCAGGTTGAGTTACTGAGCCTGGGCACCATTTTGAGCCATCAAAATTCTCTTTCTCTGAAATTAGCAGGGCTGCACCTGCTCAGCCCCTGACCCCAACCAACACAAACGCTGACTGGCATAAAACCAACCCCTCACTCCTTCGTGCTGGCCTGGTGGGTGATTGCTCAAATTAGAGAAAACTCCCTTCCAGGAGCATCTCCCCAGGCTGAGGAACCCCACAGCAGCCCAGAGCCCACTGGGGAGGTTGCTCTGTGAGCATGGTCTGTAGTCCATGAACAAATCCATGGTATCCAAAGCCATGTTTCCATCCTCATGCCCACAGGGACCTCAGCGTCGATGCGGGACTGACTCACGCCCAGTTCCAGGTCCGTCCCGTCCCTCAGCCATATCAGCATTACTTAGCCACACCTCGGATGCACCATTTCCCCAGAAGCACATCCTCAACGCAGATGGTAAGTGAACCGCTCTCACTGAGAAATGTTTTATGCATTGTCTGCCAGAAGGCAGTCAAAATAAAGGCTGCTATCTTTCTATCACCTGTCTTCTGCGAATCCCACTTATCTCCGGCCGTGGGAGGGAGTGTCTGAAAGGATAATGTTGCATCACTGCGCTGGATTAGAGAAAGAAAAGAAAAGCTCAGATGTTCTGGAAGGATTCGGTCCATCGTGTGCAGCACCAGGGTTCACAAGCTGGTCTGCAAAACCTGGGCAGGATGTGAGAGACTCATCAGTTATTACTAATAATATTATTAATACTGGCACAAATTGTGGGCTCCCAGGACTTTTTTTTATGTAGAAGAATGAGCAGTGGGTGACTCCTTTCCCTGGGCTCAGCCTTGAGGACCATTCCTCATCCTGTTGTTGCTCTCTACACCAGCTCTGATGCCACCTGTAAAGGTTTTGCATGGCCACCTGCACAGGCAGGGGTGGGTTTGATGAGAAGATGGGCTGACTGGGGTAATTTGCTACCCACTCTCCTAGCAGGGTGCTGTATTTGGAGCTGAGCCATGCCAAGCACTGCTAGTCCTTAAAGCATCCTCAGGAATCCCACGAGGGTGTTTTTCCTGATGCACTGTAGTCAGACCCTCTCACCTGTGTACTACAGTAAGTCTTAAAAGAAAAAAATCAAAGCTTGGATGAAGAGAAATCCATCCATTTAAATAAAATAAGGTTTCTTTTAAAGCTAATCCATGTTGGGAGTTTGGAACTGCAACATTATGGATGCTACAGGAACTATTATAACAGATAGTTTATCCAGAAGAAATGTGTGTTCTTAGGTAATTCATAGGAGATCTATTTAATAAAACCTCATTTTTTGGTTATTAAAAGGCTTCTGTCAGTGAAGGTGTCAATCTGCTCTTTCAATTTGTATTTTTAAAGCACTAGATTTACATCAGGGTACACGAGGTTTTCTGTGGGTAAGTACAGGTAGCTTTATCTCTCTCCCTCACTTCTTGCAGGTTGTTCATGAAATCAGAAATTATCCTTACCCTCAACTTCAGTTGCTTGCTCTTCAGGGACTGAACCCAAGCAGGCACACATCTGCTGTGCGGGAGAGCTATGAAGTACGTATATCTTGGGGACTTGGAATTATTAATTTCTGAAGAGCTGGGAATCTATGCAAGCTCTGGTATAAACTTGTAAGGCTGTTTTGTGGCATGGAAATTGCATTGAGTCATTCAGCAATTTTAGTAATAGCTGGGAGGCAAAGGGATTGAGTGGGTTTGGTAAAAGATGGTTTACTCCAGAGCGCCTGGGTCTGGCTTGAGTTGACTCTGGCTCCTTTCATGTCTGTAAACAAAGTGCTCCAGTTCTATAGGGTTTTGTTTCCCTAGCTTGTCAGATGGATCTCAAATTGCACCCTAATTTGTGAAACACTGGATATCCAGCTCTGTGCCTTAAGCCCTTAGTTATTAACACAAAGTGCCAGGGCTCAGATCCATCATGAAATCGTGACTGATTTGGGTTTGATGGACTTTCCATTGAGGAAAGGACAGGAGGGAGCCTTGGTCACCAGCGGGTAGGATTGTGTGGTGGGACCTCGTACCTCGGGAGCAATGAGGATGGCATTTCCTGATGTTCCTGTGCCACAGGAGCTGCTGCAGCTGGAGGACAGGCTGGGCAGTGTGAACCGGGGCGCCGTCCAGAACACCATCGAGAGATTCACCTTCCCCCACAAGTACAAGAAGGTGAGTGCCCCGAAACCACGGCACGGCTGCCAGCCCCTCCCAGCTCCCAGGGCTGTGGGCACGGAGCAGACAGGAGGAAGGACTTTGGTGGGTCACAATCCTCAGGGTTGGCGAGCCGGAACCATCACTCAAAACATTCCCCAAAGCAGGGGAGGAACGCAAAATCCAGAGGTGGTGCTTTGGTGTCTTGCGGGGGCTCCCGGGCCGAAGCGGTGGCGTAGCTCAGCTGGCTGTTTCTCACTTCTAGGCTAGGAAGCTGCGGGCCAAATTTTCAAAGGGGTCTCAACCTTCTCCCACCCAGCGGGTGCAATTTCCCCCCTGTCCGCACCTGGTAAGAAAGTGCACACCTCTAAGGGGGCTTGGTGCATGCAAACCCACCCTGTTCTGCATGCAAGCGGCCCTGCCCGTGCGCCCCGACCTGAGCGTGGGGGACCTTGTCCTCCCCTCCCTTCGCAAGGGGTGTCTCCTCTGTTGGAGCTGATGAGTTCCCTGTAAGGAGATGGGTGGCACATCTTTGGGTTGTTCTGAGCAGAGAACGGGGAAAAAATGCTTGTTTGGGTAGTAATTCCGTGTGCTGGTCGTCCCCAGCTGGGCGGTAACGTGTAGGGATGTTGCGTTGCCCAGGGGGAAAGTGAGATAGCTCCTCCTGCACTTACCTCTGACTGCATCTCCAGTGGATCCAGAAAAATGGTATTAATAGGAGAATAGAGAAAAGGGGAGAGCTGACAGGCTAAGCACTGCCCTGTGGTGCAGCATGGGGCTGGGCTGGTGACCAGGCTGACATGGGGCACAGTGATTGCCCTTCCTGGCAGTGGTGGCCCCACACATTTTGGGGTCTCCAGGAAAAGCTTCCAGCAAAGGAGACCATGGAGCCATCCCCACTGCAAGGAAGTGGCAGGAGACAGTATTAGGGCAGCAGAGGAGAGGCTGCTCCTTGGGGCACCACCATCAGCCTCACTGCCACTGGCCCCAGGAGGAGGTGTGCCAGCCAGCAGCATGGTGGTGGCACCCTCATCTCACTGGATGTTTTGGATGGGCTGGCTTCCTCATCCTGGAGGATCTGGCTGATAGAAAAAGCTCTTATTATTTACCTTCCTACAACTGTCCAGGCTTGGGAGACCATTAGAAAGTCAAGGCCTAACCAAACGATGTCTTTAACCTTGCTGCAGAGAAGACCACAAGAAGGCAAAGCTGAGCAAGATGATGGAGAGGAGTCAGACACTGATGAGAAATGCACAATCTGTCTGTCCATGCTAGAAGATGGAGAAGACGTCAGGTATGATCCTCCCATCTGCTCTTCTGCCTCTCCATGCCATCTGAGTTGTGCTTATTTGGATTGATGCCACTGTGCACTCGTGGGATTGCCCCTGTTCTTGTCCTGAGAAATTCACTTGGTTTGTTGCAGGGTCTGGGAAACCAAAAACTACTTAGATGGACATTGGTGTGGGCTGTAAGTAGGAGGAGGTCTGCAACAGCAGGAGGCACAAGTTTTTGTAGTGTCTCCTGGATTTGGATCACCTGCTTCAAGGCTATGCCAATAGGCCAGGTGGCAAACTGCCAAAGAGGGATGTGTCCCAGGTCTCAGGCAGCCATCTGGAGCTTACAGTCATCAACATCTGAGCTTGACAGATGACCAAAGTATGATAAAAGGCAGTATGAGTATGAAGTCCAGGAGATTCGGGCTTGTGTCCAGAATGGACCTGGTTTATTGTAGAATAAGATTACTTTGCCCACGTGGTCACAGGGAACCTTCCTGAGCCAACAGCAGAACCCCAGTCATCCATAACAGACATTCCAGGCTGTTGTCTAGGTCAGATCTCTGATTGTGACAGAGAGTGGGGACAAGAAATGCAAAGGACTGAACTACCGTGGCTGAAGGAACTGCAGGCGAGAAGTACCTGGTCCTGCTTCTCACCCCTTAATTGCCTTAAACCCTCAAGAAAAGCTCTGATCCTCTTGCTGTGGGTTCTTGTGCTCTCTGTATTACAAGGGCAGATGATGGCAAAGGTGATGTAGGTAAAAAGCAACCACATTCCCTGGGGGCACACCAGACACCATGCAGGAGCAGTGGGGACCCACCTAACTGCCAGTGAGTCACAGTGATGAAGAACCAAGAGGCTTTGGAGTATAACCTTATTCCTGAAAGAATAAAAAGTAGCAGGCAGGGTAATTAATGGCTGGAGCAACTCAGTTCAGGGTGGTGTGAGGGTTTCTAACAGGCCAAGAAGGACAGTATCTCCATCTAACTTCCCTGTGTGAGCTGGTGTGGCTGGGAGAGACTGCAGGACCTCGGCAACACTGGTGTCACCACTCCAGTGCTTTCCCACGTGGTTTTCTTTTCTTCTCGGTCCCTTGGGCCTCCTCCATCCTAACAGGCTGGTACTTTTTCTGTCTCTGCAGGCGGTTGCCTTGTATGCATCTCTTCCACCAAGTGTGCGTGGACCAGTGGCTGGCCACAAGCAAGAAGTGCCCGATCTGCAGGGTGGACATTGAAACACAGCTCGGCTCGGACAGCTGAAAGGGCTGGCTGGAAACACCATTTTCCTTACCAGGTCGTATGGCCATAGACCCTTGCAGCAAAATTTTTGCCTTCTGAGCCATTTGATTGAGAGGGGAAGTCTGCAGGCACGTTAGTGAGGAGGAGGAGGAGGAGGTGGTGGTACAATATCTAGCAGTAGGAGATATTGCACATACGCAGGATACAGGCCCAGTGAAAGGGAGCTGGCATTCCCGGAGCTCAGAGACCCCGTGCTGCAGAAGATTTAGTGTTGAACATGAAGGAACTAGTTGTGGTAGCCTGGCCTGTCAATCCTGCACTTCATGGGGATTGTATATATACCTCTCGAATATGTAGAAACATGTTAGGGGTCCTTTAGCTATTTCTATGGATGGCAGCTGGAGCATGTTAGCTTAAGAAATGTTGTGTTTGATGCCCTACTCATCTTGTGGTGGACATGTTGCTGTTACCTATTTTGCACCAAATATTTTTTCATAGATTCCTTATTTTGGTGCCTGATTAATACATTGCAGAGGGGGAATAAAGAGGTCAAACTTTCCTACCCTTGGGGTGGGGGAAGAGGAGAAAAAGCAAAATCCTGTTTACAGTCAGAAGGGTTTGCGCTCTTTGCCTCAGCCGCGTGTGCTTCTTTCCCTTGCATTTACAGTGTGTTGCAAATTTAGAGAAGCTTAAAGAAATAAAAATTGGGGATAAAATGAACGAAGCAATAGGGAGAAGCTTCGTTCCTGCTTGTCTGCTGGTGCTGGACACTTTCTGTAGGGGCATAATATTGGACTAGATGCTGTTTCTTTGCTTTCTGTATCTTTAACAAAGTAGCTTGTCATATCAAAATCCAAGGAAGATCTGTCTATTTGATTGCCATTGTCTGTGATGCTTTCTCCTGTGAGCTGCGTGACTGGTTGGCTTCACCAGCTCCAAAATGATGGTTACTGGAGTTGGTGCCTACAGCTGTGCTTTGGGGTATAATAACACCAGAGAAGTGCCGAGAGGTGCAAAACATTGACTCTTCTCCCTTGCGAAGGCATCTCTGATAACAGGACAGAAGAAAACTCGATGCTCTCAAGGCACTGCTGAGACCATGAGCACTTGGGCGTGGGAGGGGGAGGGAGGTTGGAAGTGGGGTTGCTGTTTTTTGGAGGTTTGCTGCTGGGTTGGGACCTGCCTCAAAGAATGTGTACCTGCACCCGTGTGAGCCTGTGTACGTGTTTCAGGCTGTATCCACACAGAGTAATCAGTGGTTGTTAAAACACAACTTAATCACATTAACACTCAAAACAGAATTAAGAGGCAATACCCGAAGGAGCGAGCTGTTGTGATCCACGCTCCCCCTGAAAAAAAAAAAAACGACACCTCAGCATGCCAACCACAGGGACCGAGTGGAAAACCCTCCGGAAAACTGACATTCACAACCAAAACATTCTCTTTCTTTCTTTTTTTTTTTTTTTTTTTTTTTTTTTAAATTTCGTACTAGGGGAGTGAAAGAGCTGCGGAGGAGCAGCAGGGGAATTAGTCAGGAACATTATGTATTGAAAATTCTGATGTGGTGGGAATGATTTCTGGCTCCCCTGAGCATCCGTTTCGCTGGAGCCAAGTGATGCTCTCCAAGTAGAATCAATCATAAACCGCTATCTGAGAAATCGGAAGATTCCCATGAGCTGTAATTGGAAAACACCAACCTCAGAGGCACCACAGAGACTTTCTTTTTTCCCAAAGGGAGAGGGGAGAGAAAGAACAAGTCCCCATGGACATGCAGGTGCAGGAGCCTCTCTCTTCATGTGTCCGTGTAGGTAGGAGGGAGGGGAGTGGAACACTTGGTGGCCTATAGGGAAAACATAAGGAAAAAATTTTTGGCTATGAGGGTGATGAGAAACTGGCACAGGCTGCCCAGAGAAGCTGTGGCTGCCCCATCGCTGGAAACATTCAAGGTCATGTTGGACAGTGCTCTGAGCATCCTGGTCTAGTGGAAGGTGCCCCTGCCCACGTCTGGGAGTTGGAACTGGATGACCTATTAAGGTCTCTTCCAACCCAAACTATTCCATGATTTTATGATATATTTGACACCCAGCACAAGCAACAGCTTCTTGGGGGATGTGGTGGTCCCAGCCCTGATGTCCATGGGTCAAGGAGTGGTCCATCCTTGGGACTGGCTCCAGCAGCAGCAGATTGAAGCATCATTACAAATAATACTAATAATACTATTTTATACAAGGCTTTGCTGGTAAAATACACTGTAAGGAGGTCTGGTCTGTCCAGGCATGAGCTGGGGGTGAAGCTGGGAGAGGAACAGAGTGACTGGGACTCTGGCTGGGTGGGGAGGGGATGAGGAGTGCTCCTGAACAGCGTATTTTCTTAAAGCCTGTGAGAAAGTGTTACTGTTTGCCTAATAAACAAGCACAGTTTTTAAAAAAAAAAAAAAGATCAAGCAAACTAAAAAAGAAAAAAAAAAAAACCAACCAAACCCTTTGGTGAAGAAAAGCACCAAACTCCCATGGTCTAGTGTGAGTGACTGATCCCAAGGTGTGTGCGAATTTACAGCATCTGGAGTTGTATTGGTGTGTCAGGTTTCTTTGCATTTAAATAATTTGTACGAGTAGGTTGCGATAATAGGGTGAGTTAAAAAAAAAACAACAAAATGAAACAAACAACAACAACAACAAAAAATCACTAGAAACAAAACATTGATAGTTTACAGGGTTTTGTGAGTTTAAATGCCTTATATTTAACAATCATAATTTATGACTAACTTGTAGATATTGTGGGTTCTTATTTAATTATTTTTATAGTTGTTTTTTTTGCATTTTTAATTATAATTTATTTATTTAGAAATTACTACTAATTTTTTTTATTACTCCTATTACCTCATTTTTGCATTGTTTCTGGGAATGGAATGCTTTGCATGCATCGGTACTTAAAAAAAAAAATTAAACAGGGGATGTGGGGGGGTGATGCTTATCTTGTCAAAAAAAAAAAAAAAAAAAAAAAAGAGAAAAAAATCAGGGTGTGTGATTACAAACTGTATTACTGTGGTGCTGTTACCTTGGATACATTCCATAAAAATGCAAACCTTTGATTCTGTATGCTGTGACATAGTGGAAAACTGCAATATAGTGACTGTGTTTAGCACATATATATGAATATTATTTGCACTCATAATCAAACTCCGGTGATCCTTTCGCTTGCGTCCCCGTGCATTGAAGGCGGTTAACGACGCTCTGCAAAGCCAAAACGTTTTTTTTGGTTGGTTCCCGGCCCTGCCCCGTCCCCGCCCGCCCGCTGGTGATGCTGCTGCTCTTTGCTGTATGTGTGACCCTGCAATGACACCCAGCAGGCCCCCTCTGCAAGGCTGTGCTTGTGGCAATGCACTGCACCCTTTAGTGCCAGACTCTGCACGTTGCTTCAAAAGCCAAGGAAGGGAGCCCAGGTGTGGTGGTGGCTTTGTCCAGATTTTGGTGCCCGTGGGTCCTCGGTTTGGCTCTTTTCACCCTCTGTGTGTGCACCCAGCTGGGGTGAAGGAGGCAGTAGGCTGAGCCTGGGCTTGGAGGGAACAAAAGTGAGGAACTCCTTGCAGGTTTTTTAGGGGTTGACCTCTCTACTCAGAGGGTGGTAAGGCACTGGCACAAGTTGCCCGGAGAAGTTATGGATGGCCCATCCCTGGATTGGCCAGGGATCAGAGCAACCTGGTCTAGTGGAAGGTGTCCCTGCCCATGGCTGGGGGTTGGAAAAAAGATGAGCTTTAAGGTCCCTTCCAGACCAAACTGTTCTGGGATTCTGTGATGCCATGTCTGGCTGGGAGGGGGTGGGATGGACACAGGGTCAATCTGGCATCCCTTTGCAAGGCCTGTCATGAGCATTTGCTATAACCCAGCTCTGAGCTGTGAATGTGGTAGAAGCCCCTAACTGATTCTCTTGGTCAGTTGGTTTCATCCCTTCTGCAAAGAGAGAAACCTCCACTGTAGAGCTGAGATCTACACCAGAGAAGGGAGTCAGCCCCAGAATGACATGGCCAAGCATCCCCATCCCCATCCTGCCACAACCATGCCGCTCTCACAGTGCTCTGCCCTTTCCCAAAGGCTCCTGAATATCAAGTGTTCCAGCTTTGCAAGAAGGTGAGACACGGGGTAACATTTTAAGCTTTAAGCCATAACCACCCTTGGTCAGTGCAGAAACTCAGCCGTGTATGGACAGAAGTGGGGTTTGATGCATGTGCTCAACCAGTAGCCACACCTCCCCACCCCAAAAGGCTTTGGATGCAATTCTGGTTTGGGTTAGAAAGGCACAAAATCACTGTACCTTAATTTTTTTCTCTCTGTCCCTTCAGGGTGCTGCTCTGCTTTGTTGACTTTGCCTTACCCCAGGTTTTAAACCTGTCTGTGTTTTTTACCTTGCTGCTCTCTAACACTCCTCCCCTGTAGCCTGGAGCTGTGATTTTGAGCTGTTTGGGGACAGGGGGGTTGGTTGTTGTCCCCCCCAAAGTCACTGTAAAAGGGATAAGTAGAACAAGGAGCAAACAAAACCCCTCTCCTTTAATGGCCCGAGCAGGTGAAAGGATCACCCACATTTTTGTATTCCTACTGCTGTTCTGTTGTGCTGTGCAACATTTTGCTACATAGACTATTTTATAGAAGAAAGCTAGAAAAATATTTATTATTAATATTAAAGCAATAGTGCATTGAAGAAATGGAAAGACATTAGAAATTGTGTAAATGCTTAGATTCACTTTTGGTGGATTTTTTGTACTTTATTTATAACTAATAAAACAAACTGCATTGCTAACTATAAACCTGTGCCACACAGAAGTCACTTGGCAGGGCTTGGTCTTTATTTACTGCTCGTATCTGGTTTCTTTGGGTCGGAGTAAATTCTTCTTTCACTGCTTATGCCTTTGGACTTTGATGTGCAAAAAAACCACTGCTGGGGTATAAAATACCCTGCCCATCTGTTTTGCAGAGGCTGCTGGTGGTTGAGCTCCATGGCATGGGTGAGGTAAGGCTCTACACATTGGGCATACCACCATGCGTGATGTCCTGTGGCACCAGTTTAGTGATCAGGTGCCAAAATCACTTTCTAGAATTTCTGAAAAAGGCCTGTTAAAGAGAGATTTCTCCTCCATATCCCACAGTGCCTGTAGGACATCTCTTGCAAGTCCTGCAGAGGTATTGAAAGGTTCTTCATCCTCCTGGTGGAGAAACTTCTCCTTCTGCGTGGGTCTCCTGTTTAATAACTAAGGAAGGACAAACTAATTGGAAGAAAAAAAATACTCCAAACTAATACCAACACATTTGAGGGTATTTTTCAATACTTTTTTTACCTGCTGGAGAATCCAATGTCATACACCCAATTTTGCATCCTGCGTAGTTAATTTCACAGGTCTTCCTGTGCTTTTATTCTCTCCCACTATCAGTGGTGCCAGTCTCTGCTCCTGCCCACTCTTGATTCAGCTGTTCCTCCTGAAAAGCTGAGACCAGTCTCCAGTTTTGACTATGTGATTAGACTAAATAAGCCTTGGAGACAGGCGGCTGCTGATCACAGAGATTTGGTTCCTGTAGCCAAAGGGAATTGCCGGCTCCTCCAGCATCCAGCAAACGCTGCATAAGGGATGAACCGTGTTCAGGCAACACAAACCTCGAGTTACAGGAAGGTTTCAGAAATTCAGAAAATAGAAAGCAGGTTAAAAATGACCTGCTGGTCCACCTGGGGGAATATCTCACTTTCTCACTGAGATCTTGATGATGTCCTTCAGAAGGGTGACGACTCCAAGAGCGTTGCTGGAGATGGCAATTGGTTTGGTTTCAGAACTGGAGCAGCAAACATGTCACTGTGATCTGATAACAGTCCTGCTGAGCACAGCGAGCAGCTGCCAGTGTCTGTGCTGGGGAGGGAGAGGAGCTGTGCCCATCAAGGTGTAACAGCACGGACCGAGATGCAACGTCTTTATTCACTGCGAGCATCTGCTCTCGCAGCAGCTGCCCAGGGTTGGGAAGGTTAGCCCTTATTTGTGTTTTGTAGCATCTAAATCCACAGCTGGCTCAGAGGTTGCAGCTCAGAACTGTACAACTCCATTAATAAATATA